CTCCACAGCACCCAGATTTATCAACCTGAAAGTCCTCCAAACCAAGTCACTGCTATTAAAGCCATTTGTGGTTACGACTTAAGAAACACACGCCTGCTGGCGCTCACCCTCCCTGCTGGGCCAAAGTGAGGGGCAGACCTGATGAGTAAGAACTGACCCGCCGCGGCGAGAGCCACAGCTTAGCAAAAAGCAGGCAGCAGAACCCTCTCTGCAGCTGTCCTGTCTCCCTGGCCTCCTCGCACGCCCGTCCCCATCACACGCTGCACACGAGTGAACAGGGACGAACACTCCGTTAGAGCAAACTCACACCTCACCTCGCCTTTTCCTACACCACGTCCTCCATTTCCGAGAACAAGACATGGCTCTGGTTCAGTGGCCGCTGTCCGTGTCTAGAAAGTTCTGCTGCCTGAAGATGGCGGTCATCCCAACAGCCCCTGAGGACAAGTGGAAGGGCTCCCTTCTTACTGCTGTAATGTCTCGACCCTTTTTCTCTTCCTTCTCCTGCGGAGGAAATGTCCTGCACACAGGAACCCAAAACACCCCCGTATCAAAAGCTCCCTAAAAGTTGCTTCCAGCCAGGAGGTGGAGACTCAGTCCCAGCCTGCAGGCCAGTACCCCTGCCCGGGGCCTGGCGGGAAGCACAGCCAAGCAATGGCGGCTGGCACACTGGTATCCCGTGCTCTGTCTGCACCCTGCAGTTCCTTGGCCGGACAGTGTGTCTGCACCACGCACCGCTAACAGATGCATCGTCACATGTCATCTGCACACTGGGGGCAAGAGAGGCACCGTACACTCAGGTCATAACTTTAGCAGAGAGAACAAGGGCACGACGGGACACCCCCCCCTCCCGAAACATGCCAGCTCTGAGTGGGTTCTGCCATCTGCTGCAAAACATACTCCCAGGGCCCAGGACCTTCCACAGAAAAGAACTTTAATGCAACTGGTGTGCAGAGAGAAGAGAACGAATACAGTCAAGATGGCCTCCCCGCGAAACTCCCACAGTTATCTAACCCCACTGTGGGTGAACACTTGGCCAACGGGGTGGCCCAAAGCAGGGCCACCGAGGCCTCAAAGTTGGCCGCGTGTCTAGCGCAGCTCGGGGGGCCCACAGGAGGGGCAGAAGGGGCCAGCAGGCCTGCAGGGAGAAGAGTAAAAGCAAGACCCACGTCAAGACAAGCGCTGCCCTGCAGCCTCCCCACGGGTCTCTCACGCCCCTCTTCCTAGTGTCCCCTTCCAGGGCCCCCGAGTCCCTGGTGCAAGTCCAAGGCCGAGGAGCCGGCACAGCGTCCTCCTCACGTGTCTGCTCCTCCAGATCCCCTCTCCTCTTCCTCCTCTCCCCTGCTGCTCAGCTCCGCCCTCCCATAGGTGGGGCAGGGAACCTGGAAGCCCCCCGCCGTGAGAGCCGCGGTGGGACAAGACCCCCAATACTTCTCCCCTCCTTCCATCGCCCAGATCATCGCTTCTTAAAGGAGAGAAAAATCTCCAACCGCCCCCCGCATCTGGACGGTGGTGACGTCAGGGCACAGGGAGCATGAAAAAGCCTGACAGAGGGGCCCGGCGTCCCCAGATTCTATTTCAGAGGGGCGCAAAGCTAGATTTAAAAAATAATAACTCTGGAGACAGTAGCAGCGTCCCAGAAACCTCGACCAGGAAGCCAGCGCCAGAGAAACCAGAAAACAAAAGTAGACATCGCCGCCTTGTGGCAAGACCTGTCCACGCTCAGTTTCCACACTGCGGGCAATTCTCAGCGGACCCCTTTGGAAACAGCCACTTGGGAAACACATGTGCAGACATGTTCGCACATGTAAATCTGCATCCAGAGGAAAGGCTAACTACAGCCTCCTTACCTCCTTACTAACCCAAACACTCATCTATCTAGAAGTGATTAAAAGCAAATAATAACGAGGATTGTTTCTGCATCTGTAGCTGCTTTCCTGTTTTTGGAAGTTATGGAATCTGAAGATCAGATAGGAAAGATTTACTAAGGAGATGGCCTACACTGTAAATTAAGGATGGAAACACTCAATACAAAGCTTAATGTAGCGAGAACAGTGATGATATATTCCCTGACTTCCTATCTCTGAAACCATGAAACTGATTAAAACAAATATAATAACGCAGGCAGGCAGGTTTAACTTAAGAGGAAAAGGAAAAGCACTTACAACCCTAAGCCATGTTTTCTAGGAAGAACTTCTGCCACATGCAGTGAAACCGAGGTCGTATTGTAGGAGCGGGGTGACACGGTGCCCCCCAACAACAGCTTGGGGGGCTGGTAAGCACCACCTTCCTAAGGTACACTCATGTTCAGAGGAGCAAAAGCAAGTTCATCTGGTGTGTCATGAGACCCACCACCTGTGACGCCTGCTCCAGAAAAGGAGGTGAGTGCACGGAGGAGAAGTCACTGACAGTTTTCCCTCAAAATGGAAATAAGCAAACACTTAGATCATGTTGGTGTGTAAAGGGAATAGGGGTTGTTGCTCAAGAGGAGTAGAGACAGAATTTCAGTTTTGAAAAAAAAAAATGCACTCAAGACTGATTTCACAGTGCCCTGAATATATGGAGAATATTGCACTCTACACTTACAATGGTTAAGACTGAAAATTCTAAGGGCCTCCCTGGTGGCACAAGGGGTTAAGTCTCAGCACTAGGAAGCTATCAGCAGCCAGGCAGGGAAGGTGCCCCACAGGTGCAGCAGACCTCTCCTGTCTCCCTGCTGCTCCCCTCAGCTCACCTCTGGCTTTTTAACATGGACCGCAATTCTCACACCTGATCATTACTTTCCATCAAAAGAGGTAATAAGAAACAGGGATGGGCACTACACCATGACAATATAATTGTCAGGATTTACGTACCCAACACAGATACACCAAATATCTATAGCCACTATTGAAAGGCCTCAAGCAAGACACTGACAACAGCACAACAATAATATGGGATTTCAACACACCACTTGTCTAAACAGCCAGATATCCAAAAACAAGGTAAAGGAGAAAATAACGACCTTAGATGAGGCTATGTATGGATCAGATCAACTTCAAAGCTGTCTACAGAACATTCCATCCCAAAAAGTATCCATTCTTCTCTAGAGCACATGGAACTTTCTCAAGGATAGATCTTAATCCAGGACACAAACCAAGTCTCAATAAATCTATGAAACTTGGAAGTATATCAAGCATTTTTTCTCATCACAATGGTAAGCAGCAAGAAATCAGTTACAAAGGAAAATGAAAACATGTTCAACAAACACAATGTTTTGAATAACACTGGAGGTGATGAAAAAATCGAAGTTTAAGAAATTATCTGGAAAGCAACAATAACGAAGCTACCCGATTAGAAGAGATGTAGCAAAAGACGTGTTCAGAGGGAAATTCACAGCCGTGCAGGCCCAGGATAGACAAGAGTCTAAAATAAACAATCTAATCTTAGCTACAGGGGCCAGAGATGAGGTCAGAAACACCAGGGCCTTGAACACATGGCCAAGCAGCCTGGTCTTTCTCCCACGCGGGGTGGGTGGTCATTACAAACTTTTGAGTAGAAAAGAGGAGCATAAAGCTCAGGAGATTCCGCCGGGCCTAGTAAGGAAGAAGAAAGGAGACAGACCGGAGGCCTGAAGAGCAGTGAGAAACAGAGTTGTCTGGAAATACTGGAAGCCGAAACTTGTGGATTTTTAGGGGCATTAGGAAATAAGCCCCGGGGGTTGAAACTACACTTATTGCAAAAGCCCTCACCTGTTCCGACCCTGTTCCGAAGGGCCCTGGGCGGTGGGCGGATGGTA